GTCTTTTCGGGGGTGACTTAATTCCCCCCCTTGCATCCTCGGGCAGGTGGGAGGTGACGGCTTGGATGTTGACCTTGGCGTTGGTGGGGCACTTCGTATTGGGAGACCTTCTGCCACCATTGCTTTCCCTTCTCCCCGTGCTGCCGCGGCGTTTAGAGCAACGCCGCAGCATTTGGCGCAGCCACGTGCGGCCAGCCCGGGCTCCTCCCTGCAACCGGAGCCCGGCAGAGACACTCAGCTTCAGACGCTCCTGTCACCGCCTTCCCTTTGCCTTCGAAGGCAAAGCCAATTCTTTTAAAAACGATGCCCTACTACCGGTACGACAAAGACTCCCCTGCCCGAGAGGGCAGCCCAACCCCATGTGGGGAGGCAAATCTCCCGGGGCCGCAGCGCAGGATCAGCCCACCCTGGGAGAAGCGCCCAGCCGCCATCCCTGCCTGGTGCCAGGCAGAGTGCGAAGAGCTTTGCCTGGGGTGCCCAGCGCAGCTGACAGGTGGGCCCTCCTGCCCGGTGGTGGAGCTCTCGCCAAGGCAGCGAGCACCTCCCCACCGGACCCTCCGCTCATCCCGCCAGAGCTGTGCAGGCTGGGCAGAGCCGGGAAAGCGAGCCGCAGGTGCGCGCCTGCCTGCCAAGCAAAAGAGCCGGGCTGACCCGAGCTTGATTTCCTTCCCAAGTCCCTCCAGCCTGAACCTGAAGGGGCCAGCGGGAGAGGCCGCCCGAGGCAGTTATAGCAGCCACCCATCTGTGGACAGGGAGGCAAAGCGACGGCCTGCGCCACGTCCTCCTCCGAGCTGAGCCCCACCGAGTGAGCACCTCTGCCCGATACCCATGCTGCTGCAGTGTTTGGAGCTGCCGGCGTGTTTGGAGATGCATGGGGACGGGCTGGGCAAGGGGTGGAAAGGACGGGCGGCTTCGGGCTCTCTCCGTTGGACGCGACAGCCAGGGAAGCAGTGATGCTGTCGCCTCGCCTCCCTGTCCACGGACGGGTGGGTGCTATCATTGCCTTGGGCAGCCTCTCCCAGTGGCCCCTTTGGGTTCGGGCTTTGAGGGACTTGGGAAGGAAGCCAAGCTCAGGTCGGCCCAGCTCTTTTGGTTGGCAGGTGGGTGCACACCCGTGGCTCGCATTCCCAGCTCTGCCCAGCCTGCACAGCTCTGGCGGGATGAGCGGAGGGTCCGGTGGGGAGGTGCTCGCTGCCTTGGCGAGAGCTCCACCACCGGGCAGGAGGGCCCACCTGTCAGCTGCACTGGGTGCCCCAGGCGAAGCTCTTCGCGCTTTGCCCGGCACCAGGCAGGGATGGTGGCTGGGTGCTTCTCCCGGGGTGGGCCGATCCCGTGCTGCAGCCCTGGGAGATTCGCCTCCCCACGTAGTGTTGGGCTGCCCTCTCAGGCAGGGGTGTCTTTGTCGTACCAGTAGTAGGGTGTCGTTTTTAAAAGAATTGGCTTTGCCTTCGAAGGCAAAGGGAAGGCAGCGACAGGAGTGCCTGAAGCCGAGTGTCTCCGCTGGGCTCCGGTTGCAGGGAAGAGCCCTGGCTGGCCGCGCGTGGCTGCGCCAAACACCGCGGCATTGCTTTAAATGCCATGGCAGCATGGGGAGAAGGGAAAGCAACAGCGGAAGGTCTCCCAATACAAAGTGCCCCACCAACACCGAGGTCAACGCAGGCAGCACCATATCCGGGTATGCAACAAAAGTACTTCCTAACGGCCAGCCTCCCTCCGCCATTCCCCGCCATTTCTCATGTTTAATATAGTCCTTAATTTGGGAGGAGGGGCTTAATTTGATTTTATGCCTATAAAGCATGCTGGGACTTCCTATTGGGGGAGGCCGTATTGTTGGAGAAACACGGTAGCAAGTTGATTGTAAAAAAACTGCAAGGCAAGATCAACTTGAAGGTAACTTGCTTTGATTACAAGAAAAGATTCAAGTCCTTGCCACCTGACTGGATAACCAAGTGCCTAGAAATACCCATTGTTGTGAACAACATATAACATACCACCACTAACATGTTGGCAGTTTTGCAACTAGGCACTTTCACCAATAGCTCTAAGAATGGTTGTTTGTTGCTGTGTGGAGATAGGAGTGGAAGAAATGAAGTCAGATTAGTTTGTAAGAGTGAAGGTGAACTGTCAATATCAATGTTATTTTAAGCAAGACCAAAAAAAACAGGCTTAATAGTGAAACAAGTGGGCTTTAACAAAAGTATTATATGTAATGCCCAGAATTTCCTATCAGAAATTCCTAGATAGAAATCCACTTCTGCCTACCTTGTTAAGAGGACTTTCCGAGATTGCCCGACAGGATTCAGAGGCCTTCTCAGATGCACACATCTCACTTCAGAGGAGAAGGATCTCCAAAAAATAAGAGCATTAGAATGAGATAAGAAAGGGGAAAAAAGCTACAATATGATGTTTCAACTTCCTAGCTCATCTATTCTATTCAGCTCATTTCTCCTTGTAAAGTCTACATACCGCATACATCAGAAAAGTTCTAGGATGGAAAAGTGTTGGAAAGAAGGATAATTTATGATAGATATCAAGAAGATGGGACACCCCCTTCTATAGAAAAGTTGGGTCAGAGCTGTATGAAGTTTATCAAACCATTTTCTTTGCATTATTATGACTCACGTAGTCCAGTCAAGAAGTAGAAAGCAAAGAGGGAGAAGCATTCTACTAGTTACATAATTATAAAGAATGCTGTTTCTCGAGAAATGTCAGAGGGATGAATTCAACCAAAAATGACCCTCTGGATCTCCTTAGTTTCACAACCTCTTTCTTCTGAAATTCTCCCCCAACAGCCAAGACTCACATGTTGGAAGATCTGGATGACATGGGAGGAATGGCACTTTCTGTTGCCGATCTCCATTAGAATGTTAATATAAAAGAAATAGATTGGTCTATCTGTCCATCCATCTGCTCCTCTAGCCTGCAGCACAACATGGCTTTCTCCAATTATTGTCCAGCTTATTTCCTGGTGAAGCAAAAGAAGGCCAAGGGACTTCTTCAGTAGCATTAGCTACTTTGATAGGTTATCCTCTTGCATTCAAAGCACATATTAGGTAAGCCTTGGGAAGAGGCTTTCCCACTGCTTTTCTCCACATACATGAAAAATTGAATTATGCCCCGTAAGCATAGAATATAGTATCTGCATAGACAGAAAACGTATGCTTATTTGAGTCTCTGTTGTTTATACAGTGAGTGAATCTTTCATATTCAACAAACAGTAAGCCGTGTGTAGCCAAATCACTCCAGGAGACAGTTGTGATGCTGCTTCCAATCTCTGCAATGTGATTTCTGAACCTCTCTCAGGGCACATGGCATGACTGCATGTCGGAGCTCTTCTACACTGCTTGCTAACTATTGAATGGAGACGCTCCCACTATCCTATGTAGAGGATATAAATGGACAATACTTCTTTAAACTTATCCATGCCAATGCAGAGATAGCTTCTATTTGTCTGCTCTACTTCTCCAATTTGGGCTGTCATTTTCTTTGGGTGCAAGCAAGAGAAGCAGGGACTGGGAGGGAGAATTGGGGAAGTGGTTTGCAGTCCTTTGAGCACCAAGAAGATTCACTTCCTTCTATGCTTTACTATATGAGAGTGGCAGAAATTGAGTGGTCAGCCATTTCTTTCTAGTAAAGGATTGTTGGAGATTTATTCTTCTTGGTGCCAGGAGGAGTGTTACTGAAGGAGCTGTTCTTCTCTACCGGTAGCCCTTGCTTACTTGTTTGTTCAGCAATGGTTTGAAGTTACAATGGTGCTGTCCCTCAGTCATATGATCACTATCAGTACATTATATCCTGTACTTGACTATTGTTTTCTGCCCCAACCCACCCACCCACCCCCGACCCCAGAGAGAAAAGGATTACAAGAGAGCAAGCAGGCACACAATGGGGTACACATTGAAAGCAACGTGCTGGCACTGGCAACCACTACTGCACTCTGCAACATTCCCCAATGTGTGCCTGCTTACTCTCTTATAATCCCTTCCTCTCCAATGAATATAGATATAAATATTAAATCTCTTCTGGCTAATTATCGCAGCATCATTGCAGTGAACATTCCAGATTGCAGCAGGGTGGGGGAAAGTACAATCATAGTCATGTGCAGAGGTCTCATTCTTGTGGCCCACAGGCCAATTGCGGCCCGCAGGATGATATCCTGTGGCCCCCACCGTGATATGAAAGTATAATATTAGTGCGTTCTCCATGCGTCGCTAGCTGGCTAAACACTTCTATGTGCAGCCCAGCCTCACCCAGACTCTGCCTCCAGCGGCCCCCAGGTAAATTGTGTTTGAGAGCCCTGGTCATGTGATCTCCCTCTTAGTGAATGCTTCACTTATTGACAGAGTTGCCAGCCCCAATTGTCACTAAACAAGGACTACTTGTACTTCTCTGCCCCAAGAAGCAAGTGGAGATGAAGCAGGGAAGAAAAACTCCTTTGTATCAGTTTTCGAATTCCACAGAATGGAAACTCCACTCCATGTAACTGAAGAACAACAGAAGTTCCACAGACCTTCTGCTATTGGTGCCAATCACTAAAAGAGGCTTTTCCTGCTCCTCATGTCTCCTATGAACAGAATCCATATTCTGCTTCATTGCCAAGGTAGAAATCCAGGTATATTTTTATGTTGGCCTATTTTTCTTCCTGCCGCCTGTGTAGCAGAAAAGCACTTTAATGCTGCCAAGTGGAGGAGTCCATGATTCCCGGAAAAGACTGATACTGCGTGGCCCTGGGTTTTCCAATCAACATTGGCAGTTGGCTTGAAAGGTGCCCAGTTCTGTGAACTCATTCTGACATGCACAAAGCAGACATTTTAATACTGAAGCAATACTAGACATCATATTCCAGTGTAGCCCTTAGGAGGCTGTGTTAACCAGTGCATTAGGATGATCTCCGGATTTTCAGAGGAAGGTTTTAAGAACTTTGTAGAAGTTCTGAGCTAAAAAGAGGAAGAGTGACTGCTCATGCCCATTTCATTTCCTCAGAAAAAGTTTGGGAGAACTTTAGACTATAATAAATAGCTGAAAGTCCCACAGCTTCCAAAGACTGAGAAAAATGTCATCACCACAGGGTATCTATAAGAGATGCGAGGAACCCGAGGAACAGGGGAAGAACCCAAGGAAGATATTTGAAACAGCAGGTAATTGCCAGCTCTAGCTGGATTCAGAAATTTTGACATATTGCCTCTGGGGGGAGAGTTTCCAGACATTCAGAGCCAAATGGAGAGAAGCTTAGAACGGCAGCACAAACTCCCTCCAGCTATTTAAGAACTTATTCATGAAAATGATTGCCAATTTGGTATAGAACACCACAACTTCTTCAATAATATGAATTCTTATACTTATGGTGTCTGACAATAAGCCTCACTCACCATGATGAGACTTACTAATGATTGGATTTGTGCAAAATTGGACTATAAAGAGGGGAAAAATTGCAAAGGTGCATTCTATGGGAAATGAACAGGTATCTGAGAAGAACGAGAATACTCTTCCCATTTTCACTTATTTCCAAACATTTAAACATTCCATCCACCTAGCAATTTAAAGGAATGAGGGAAGAATTCTAGCTGCTTGAGGTACATGCTTATTGAGAGTAACTGTTCTTTGCTGATACGGAGAGATATGAGCTGCTGTAACTCTGTTTCTCGTGGTTTTGCATATGAGGAAACTCTGATTTAATGGTCTTCTAAGGCAGTGGCCCCCAATCTTTTGGGGTACCAGGGACCAGTTCCATGGAGAGAGGGTTTCCCACCAACCAGAAGGGGCATGGTTTTGCATGCTACCTGCATCCCACGGATGGGACTTTACTTGTTTGTGCGGCTCGGTTTCTGGCATGTTGTGGCCCAGTGCCGGTCCACGGACTGGGGATTGGGGACCCCTATTCTAAGGTACACGGGGAGGATCCTCTGTCTTGAGCTGTGAGAAAATCAACAGTCAACTCTAGCTAACACTGAGGTTGACGGATCAATGATCTAACATGATGAAAGGCCTATAGTCCTAACCTGAACCTGAAGACAAAACTTAATCTCTTTACATTTATGTTCCAATGTTGGATCTGCATTTCTGTCAGCAAGGAGATAGCAACCAAATTTTCTTAAACATTGCTTTTCATTAAATGTTGCCAAGCATAAATTAGGCAACCATCTCTCTGGGATGGTTTAATTTGTATTCTTGTACTGGGAAGAGGGATGGAGTTGATGACCTCAATTGACTTTTCTAGTTCAATAATTCTATGAAATAAGACTTCTAAGCTTATCCTTATAAAGTAGGCACAAATAATGTGAACCCACATGGTTGCAGTTCCTTCAATTAACCATGGTTAAACAACCATAGTTTGTTTACTAACTAGGTCAGTATTCTGTAAGAAACATGTACCCGAGTTTCCCTTAGAGAATATCAACTATCACACCAACAGAAGTTAACTGTTCAAAGAACAAGCCTTTTTCCTTTTTAATGTGCTGCTTCTGAACTCTGCGTTGGTAAGGTGGATCACAGTAATCTCAGTTCAGATAGTTGGCCCCACCCTAAGGCAGCTTTCTATGCACTTCTGTTCCACTGTAGAAAGCATCTTGAGCCTGAAGCCGTATGATCTTTGTTGTGTAATGTTTGAGAGGACAATCAGTTTGTTCCCTTTCTCTGGGTCATACCAAAGACAGCTGCTTCCTGCTTCCATCAGTCTGTGATCAATTGGTCAAAACCATTTTTGTTGGATCAGCAAGATTCATAATGATTCAGAACACAAGGCATTCATATGTGTTCTGGAACTGAGACAAGATGACTGAATCTAATTCATGTACTTTAAGACTTCTCATGAGGTTTAAAACAGTTTAGCTATAATAGGTTTCCCGCAAGGAATTCTAGGAACTGATGAGGTTAAAAATGGCATCCTAGCCATTATCTTACTGCTTTTTTTGCTGAGAAACCTTCTCTGTGTAACTCAGCTGAAAGTAGATATCATCATTTCCCTCTAAAGTCACATAGATCAGATGAAGAAAAGAGCCTAATGTGGTACTTGAGAGATCAAAGAATTAATCTTTCCCTTGCCTATTTTACCTCACAGATAAAATGGTTTGGTACATAGACTGATTTTTAAAAAAATACTTCAAAAATATAAAAAATATTTCTAAAAATGTATTCAAAATTTAACATGGGAGGTACATAATACAAATGATGTTGCTTTTAAAAGATTCAAGGGAAAACTAGCACTTTCTTAGTAGACATTAATAACTTTTTTAATCAACACCTTTAAATAATATTGGTGAGAGTATGACAGTTAATGGGAACTGACAGATTATTGCTATAGTATAAACACTCGTAGCCTGCTTGCCCCCAATTTCATTTCTCAGGGTTCTGTGCAGAAAGAGAGACTATGAGCACAAGACAGAAACCATGGCAAAAACTCCTTGGTAACACGGAAATGATCTCTAAGGTTCAGACAGAGGGACACCTAAAGGTGCTTTTTCCAGACAGCAACTGGACTGTCTTCTTTTTTTTTTTCCTTTGAAAACATTTTCCTCAGAACATCCAAACGTCTTGGATTAAAAGTGAAATATTTTCAAAGGGAAAAAAAAAGCCAAGAAAGTCCAGTTGCCTTTTGGAAAAAGCACCTTTGGGGCAACCATAATCGGGATGATGGAGAATCACATTCAGAGGGGCAATTGAATGTACCTGTGGTAAATGACATGAGCTGGAATAGATACAGAATACACAATATACATCAACTCTTGTTCACTGCAAATAAAGATTTTTTTAAAAAAATTATACTGTAGCTGACTTTCCATTCAAGAGCATATTTTGAAATAAATCGATTTACCATAGCAATTATTGATGGAGTAAATTATTTTTTAGTTTAGAATCTCTCTTTCTCCTTCTGCACAGAAGCCGGGGAAATGAAATTTGGGGATGAGCAGGCTAGGAATATTTGTATTATTACAATGCCATCACTCCTATCAACAATCATATTCTCATCAATATTATTTACCATAGCAGTTATTGATGAAATAATTATTGTAGTTGAAAAAATGAGCCATGGACAAGAGAGAGAGAGAGAGAGAGCATCAAAAGAACTTGTCTGGGACAACTGTGGACATTATGGTAGGATCGGTTTCTTATGGATATTATTATATTGACATTCTGCCTTAGAGGATTACCAGGAAATACAGTGTTAGCCATTGGGTCCATTCAAATTGATGTGTGCTGCATTCAGCTTACTGCAGCATTCATCCAAATAGATGAATGCTACAGTAAGCTGTGGAGAAATAGTAATTTTCTTATTGTGCAGTTATTTAAGAACATTTACTCTGATGTATTGTGTTTCATTTCAAAGGCAGTTTTTCCCTGTGCACATTCTCATCTCTGTCATAGTCCATTTCATATATGTGTTGAAAAAAGTGCCTAATGATTATAAAAGTTTATACCATGTAGGAAATCAGCTGTATAAAAGCATGTTTTGTTGCTATACAGAAAAGCTAATACAAATATTATTCTAGAATGAATGGGATTTTAGCTAGTGTGTCTGAAACTTTGTAGAGTTTTTCTTCTATAGCAGGGCTGTCAAACTCGTGGCCTGTAGGTCAGATGCATCACGCGCTGGCCACGCCCATGCCCCGTTTAGCGAAGGGGGAAAAGTCACAATATGTCATGAGATGATGCCGTGATGACGCGAGTTTGACATCCCTGTTGTATAGTATTAATATAGAATTCTTATCCTAGTTTTACCACTGTAGGTTTCATAAAACACATGATTTTTGTCTACAGGTAATTTCCTGCCACAAAGCTTCCGAGGTGGTTCAGGAGTATCCCTGCCGATCATTTCTCTTGTGACCATTGCATCATTTTTGCTATGGATCATCACTGTTGCTGTGATGGCATCAAAATGTATGTCTTCTGAGTCAAAAGCTGGATCATCTATCTCCTTTCTAAAATAGCAGATCTTGGATGTGAAGAGAAAGAAAGAGAATAGGGTACAATTTGGTGCCCTATGTACCAGATTAGTATGGAAGATCAACCTCATAGTATACCTTCAGATGTGTTAAGTCTGCATTTTCCACAATTCCCCCCCAGCTTGGGGAATTTTGGGAGATGAGAGACACCTTTATTAAAAAAAATTCTAGTATCCCAGTTATGTTTTCAATTATATGTACATTTGAAAATAATTTATTTTTAGAGAGTCAAATCACTAAACAGCTCTGGTGGCCTAGAGGTGGAGCTCTCGCCTCACAATCAGGAGGCTATGAGTTTGATCGTAGGTAGAGGGTAATATTTGGAATAGACTCCTGCTTGAGCAGGGGGTTGGACTAGATGACCTCCAAGTGTGCCTTCCAATTCTGTTACTCTATTCTATGAAATATATTGACTAAAAACTATTACTCAGTTTTACATAAGATGTAGCTGTTTTGTCACTGAAATATTTGCACAGATATTATCAGTTATTGCTATCATCTCTGGTTATTAGCCATGCTGACTGGAATTGATTGGATGGAGCCCAACAAAATACCTCACTTCTAATCCAATTTAGTTTGTGTTTGATGAAGTTTGGGGAAAGGAGGAAGAATATTTGCTTTTTGTGACTACTGATCTCAATGTCCTGATTGGAAAAAAAAATACTGTAGGAAATAATGTGGGGTTTTTGCTCAGGACCCAATACTGCCTCTTGATTATGGACATTCTTTTCCTGTCATGCAATTCCCAAATTGAACACTTCACATGAAAGCCTTTATTTAGAACCTCACATCTGGTGGCCAATCACCATCCCTTCTCACATTTTTCTCTATAGATTTTAAAACACTTCACTCCATAAGCTAGCTATTTATTACAGATACTATTGGCCACTCTTTTTAATTAGAAAAGTTGAATACAATTGTATTAAATAAAAACATTGTCCTTTTCATAGTGAGCCTTGTGTCTTCCTCCATGGATGCATCTTATTCATTGACGCCTCAGATTTTTTTAGCTGTCACTCAGATTCTCTTTGCTTGTCACCCTTTCATCTTTACCAAGTATTGTTCCTCCTAACTGTAGAAGGAATACTACCTCCATGCTAGCAAAAGACAATGAAAATCTGAAATATAGACTAGGAAATACCAGTGCTTGAACTGGAGAAATTTGGTCAATAATTGTACCTTTTTATTATAACAAACTTTATGTAAGACAGTGGACTGATAATGTGGAGTACAGATTTATCCTTTAAGAAGACAACAATTTGAAAAATATCAGAAATGTATATTATTTTCTGTTATAGGGTTGAGATCATTCCCCTTTAACTTTCATAGGAAACCACAATCTATTGCTTATAATTAATTGATCACAGGCAGTTACAGGTTTCTTTGTTCTTTCTCCACTCCCACTGCTTCACTTGTCTAGTCTAGGCTGGTCCGATTGCAGTGGTGCTTATAATTAATTGATCACAGGCAGTCCATGCTAATGAGGCTGTTTATCTCTCAAAGTGAAAATCAAACTAATTCATTTCAAGTTGACTAGTCTTGGCCAGGTTAAACATTTCACATAGATTGCAGTGTAATTGGTTTGTCTCACTGAGTAGTGCATACCCAGCTACTGTAAATTATAATAGATGATTTGTGGCTTAGCGTATAATTGTTGTGCTAACCTGGACAGTTATGGTTCATCCAGGAAACCATGGTTTGATGAAATGTCTGAATTCAGTCATCCTATTCCTTCAGATTCTAAGATTTCCAAGGAACTAGAAGAACTGCGTTTGAATCAAACTTTGCTGACTAAAAATGGTAATAATTCCGTGTGTGTGTGTGTGTGTGTGTGTGTGTAAATTACAAAGATCACATTTTAAAAGAATAATAATTGAAACAGCTAACCACTCATATTCATATGCAGAATATGCAGAAATATTTTGTAAGTAACTGCAAAAGTAGACTTACATGAAAGGGGAAAGATGCAAATAAACAGTCTTTTGGGAAAATATCTTTCCTATATTTCACCACCGAGTTCCAGAAAAACAATGAAAAAACATAATACAACCTGTTTTGCTGTAAGCAGTGTAGTCTTGCACAGCCAGAGGGCCTTCAAGATGTATGGATTTCAACAATCAGAATTCCCTAGCCCGTATTCTAGAAATTGTTTCTACAGATCTGGATGGTATTCACTTTAGCAAAGGCTATCTTATGATAGCCAACGAAGTTTCATAGTGATAATAGTAACTACAATACAACTGAAATGCAGCATTTCACAAAGCATTCATATATTTTCCTATTTCTTGGCAAGATATATTGATCAGAAATTAATGATTGTCCTTTTAATGGGTCTGGACAGTGGACATTTCCAATTCTGAATTCATTAAGATGTGTACACATAGTACTTATACAAGCTAACAGTACATTCACGTTGAGATTTCTAGGATAGGCTAGCTTTTCTGTGTATCCATTCTATTCTACTATCATAAGTTTGTTAGGCCTGAACCAGGATCTCCCCAGATATTATTGCTTTTATTGAGAAAAAAAACACCTCCCATAAGCATTCAGTTTCTTGTTTTGATAGCAATAGCAATAGCACTTAGAATTACATACCACTTTACAGTGCTATACTGTCCTCTCTAAGCGGTTTACAGAGTCAGCATATTGCCCCCAACAATCTGGGTCCTCATTTTACTGACCTCAGAAGAATGGAAGCCTGGGGGGAGTTGAACTGGCAAAATGCAGGCAGCAGGCAGGCAGCAGAAGTACCCTGTAGTACTGCACTCTAACCATTGCGCCACTGAGGCTCATTACAAAGAACTTAATATCTTTAGAGAAAAAGCTCTGGGTCTTTTGGGAAAATTTTCCAGTGGGGTTGGGTCTATACATTTCTGCTGAAGCTAATCCTGACCATGTAGGGGTTTAAAGTGATAGAGCTGTCTTATAATTTCCAGTAAATCCATATATTGTACATTATCTGGCTGGCAAAACATTAAACTTTGAACTACTGTAACTCCCTCAGGCTAATATTCTGTCTTTTTAGGTCTCAATTCAGAGAAGCAGTTGCAGCACCTCCGCTCCGACCATAATTCTTACGGTATGCATTAGCTTCATCTTATGTCTGATATTTCAACTGAAGTTTCTCATCGCTTCTTTCCTTCCTTGTGCCAAGCATCCTTGAGTTATTTATTCTTGTTCTCCCAACTATCACAACATATTGTTTTGGCTGCTGGGTAACCATATTTTGTTCAGTGTCTGGGGGAGGGGGTGAAAAATTCAAGATGATGCTGTGACCATACAATCAAAGGCATGTAACCACGACCTTAACCTTTTCTTTTTTTTGGTCTCTTTTATCCTATTGGATGCCTTGGCTGATAAGGAGAAAATGATTAATGGTCCAATTGAATGAATTAAGCAATTTGTCAATGGGAGTTCCTGCCTACTTAGGATGGGGGTGGGGGTGTTTCTTTTCTGTGAGAGGAGGAAATTGGCTTATTGGATAAGGTCTGAGACTAGTGTACTTCAAGGATTGCTGGAGGGAGAAGAAAAAGCAATTCATATTTTTAAACTTGGGACATAGAGAAACATCTGCACTGTTGCTCTGAGAAATTTTAAGCAGAACTTACAATTCTGTTGCTTATTACAGAAGTGGGCTTCCATTGTGGTCTCGACATTTAATTTTAAATCAAACCATTATCCCGTAGCACCTCCTATTTCTTCCTGCATAGTGAAATTTGGAGGTCTTAAAAATGCCTTTTCTTCCAAAGTAGCAATTACAGTTTACTGTGTCTTTTTCTTCTTCTTCAGAATCATCAGTAAATAACACCCTAAAAAAGCTGGAGGAAAGTCACAATAGCCTGAAAAAGAATGGTAAGTGGTTTTTATAGGAAGATATGGGCTTGCTTCTGGTGAGAAAGGAAGATAAGGTGGATACATGAGCTTGCTAATAGGGAATTTTATGAATAAAATTTACTTTGGATTGTTCCAAATTGAAAACTGTGAGTCATTCCTGGCAACATCAGTCTAAGTTCCTAGATCCTGTTCATTGTATCTCTATTGTTTTTTCTTTCTTTCTGAAGGACTCTTCTGACAACTTCCCCTATCAAGGATGGTCCTACATTAAAGTGAAGGATCTGCCTTGGGTAATTGATCAATGGGAGGGGCGAATGGGACACATCAGTATCAACAGTCCACCAATTCCTCTCCTGTCTTGTGTTAGAAAGCAGTTGTGTGAATCTTTCATATAAACAGACATGTTTTCCAGGAACGCTTTTCAAAAAAGCATTTTGGCCAAACATAAGTACTCATATTCTGATCATCAACAAGGAAATGAATGGCATCTTCAGCAGAGTAGGATCCCCTCCCCCGGCAATTCATAAGTTTTCCAGGCCAAAAAGAAAGTAAATATAAAAAATAAAATAAAATAAATAAGTGGAAAACATTCATGAAAGATGGAATAAATTGGTCAAAGGATATTAATTTTTCTGGGTTTCTTAAATAAATATGTGTTTTTATTTAAAATGGCCACAGATTATCAATATATTAATGCTGTTTAACATGCGAAGGAAGCATAAATGAGTTAGCAACCGAATAAACAAGAAACTGTTCAGTGTTAAATGTCTTCTAAATATATTGAAATTAGAGTATTGAAAGTATTGTACTGGTTGAAAGTCCAACAACTTTGGTTTCAGCACAGCTGCAAAAGTCCCAATTGACAAATTACCGCCACAAGCATATACTGCAGAGGTGAATTTAAGGGATAGAATAATGATATTTTCCTCTTTTCCATGCCTACATATAAACATCTGTACATGTAGAAAATGGCATGAGAAAGAAAATATAAAACAAAAACCATTTTTCATGCCTTCCCAGTGTTGATGAGAGGAAGTATATGGAAAGCAATAAGATTATTCAATATCTAAACCAGGAGTTCTCAGACTTTGTGGTACTATAATCTCTGAAAATAAAAAAAGGAACCTCTGTGACTCCCACTTAAATAAAACTAACAAATTCATGGACATTATTTGGGCAAAAATATTTTAAAAATTATTTTTAATCTATATATCAAATAAAACAATGATACAATCTTATAAATTTATATTTTTTTTTACTGAAAATAAATAAACCAAAACCTTATGTTTAACAGGAATTATAAACTTACTTAATTTTGCATAATTGCTAAAATTTATGGAGTGGGAGTTGAGACAGTCACACTAATTTTTCATTACACGTTCATTTTGAATTCATATTGTGTGATTTCAATCAAGACAGTCATTCAATTTTGAATGTGTATGCTATTGGATTTCTGGTCCCAAAGATGGTGCTGGGTCAGAAGCTACTCTGGACTTTTTTTTGACAAGATGGTTTCGGCAAGATGATTTTCCAGCCATAGTGAAAGCAAGTTCTGCCAGATATCCATCTTTGCATTAATGGAAAGATGGAAAATGATATTGCTTGTCATCAAAATCTCAGTGACAGGAAGAATGGCTTTAGACTTATCTTCTCTTGAGTTTGCTATCTGACCTTTATATATATGTGTGTGAATATAAGGAGAATATTATTTCTTTCTTTGAATTCTCCTCTGCATCAATATATCAATGACTAATCTTCAATCTGGTGCCCATCAGATGTCTTGAGACTGAAATTCTTCAACGACCCTGTCAATAGAACATGATAGGTATAGTGTTTCAACATATCTGAAAGATACAGATCGGGAAAAGTTTTGTTATATCTAGTTTTATTTACATTTAATTGTTTTCCTGTAAATTTGTACTTTTAGTGAATGAAAACATAAAACAGATAGACACTCGAAGTGAAGGAAATGGGAAGGTAGTCATTGAATTAATCAATGCAGTTTATCAGATTAACGGTAAGATACAATTCCTCTGTCTGTCAATTCATAAGATATTACTCCTTCAGAGTTAAGCACTCAATCTTGTTGTAATTGAAGCTGTGTTGAAGAAAGCTTGTGTTTGATACTAGGCGGTTGATGTTTGAATTAAACAATACATGTACAAATGAAAGTTCTCCTACAAGTTTTGAACTGTAGCCCAATTTTACCACATGCCTCAAAGCATTGGTTACAGCACTATATATGGTATTATTATGCATCTTCTCTGGCGATTTAAAGGGGATAGATACAAACTAATATATTTGGATCCAAATTCTGATCAGGGCCTCAGTCAAACCCCCCATAGAACCTAAGGGAAAAAAATAATAATAATCCACCCTGGAATCCCCAAGTCAACTATGGTGGACCAAACTGTAGTTTCTCCCTGACCACATGATGGTAGCAGCATTGGCAAGCTGAAAAGAGAATTATCTAATTATGCAAAAAACTGATGGTGATATCCTCCATTCCCAGATTGCGACTGCTTTGAGATACAAACCAGGTCTAATACATAATCTCGAGTGTGTGCGTTAGGCTCTTGGTGACTTAGGTTAGGACCATGATTGTCCTGGTGGTGAGGAACTCCTGGACCGACCCACACTTCTTGCCATCTGTGGGCAGATAAAAGTCCCAAGAACTATAAGCCATCTGGCAAACAAATCTAACACTTTGGGTAGGGATACTGTTGAGCAACAGGGAGGCCAGTATAGCAGCTAAAACCTTAGAGCCAATGTTTAACCAAGAGGTCTCATATTTGATTATCTGCAGCACAGAATATCTGAAAGCCATTAAGGTGTGTTTTTTTAAAGCTGCAAATACAGTATTGCAGTTTTTACCAATCAGGACCTGGGACTAGTCTTTATTTTCAACACTGTATAGACCAGGAGTGTCAAACTCAAGGCCTGCAGGCTGAATCCCGTCCACGGGGTGCTTAGATCTGGCCCGTGGGCCCACCCTGGAAACAGTGAAGGACCAGCCTGTGGTGCCTCTGCCAGTGAAAATGGAGCTCAGGAGGGTTGTGCGCAACCCACCCGAGCTCCATTTTTAGCCATGACGGCCTCCTGCAGCCCTCTGCCAGCGAAAACAGAGCTCTGGAGGACCGCATGCAGCCTTCCAAAGCTTCATTTTTGCTGGCAGAGGGCTGCAGGAGGATCTCCTCCAGCCACACCCGGGCCATCACAAGTGCCCCCAACACGAGTGATGTTGAGCTGGCCATTGTTTAGATTTACAGACAGGACCAAACTATCACAAGCATTGGTAATATTGGTTTAATTACTAAAAGCAACTAGAATATGTGATTATCTGTCTTTAAATATCTACAACTATTTTATAGCTTCAGGCTGCCAGGTATGTCCAAAAGGTTGGCTGCTGAACAAAGAAAAATGCTACTATTTCCAGATGGGGAGTGAAGCCTGGTCTCAGGCACAGAGGAGATGTGAGGCTTATGGAGGCCAACTGGTTGTCATTGATGGTTGGAGTGTGGAGGTAATAAGCTGCTCCAGTTTAATAATCAAACATTTTCCATTTCTCAAACTTAAACCACGCACATTGTCTCAAGGAGCACATTTGTGGGAAGGAAACCTCAGCTGTTGAGAATCGAACAGTGGTGCCATGTTGGCTCTCATTTTGAAGCTATTAGAGGTAAGGAGGAAGGAGAAGGGCAAAACTTGCACAAACCTTCTGCTTCAGTAGAGAACAAGGGTCAGAAGTCTCCTTCACATCTGAAAAGATGGTGGAAAGGGATGTGCACTCCAGGAACAGGACTCTATATCCATACACTGCATTTGTCTTCTTGTTCCTCTGGGAGGGAGCTAATCTGAGTGTCTCATGAGAGAGGCTGTTGGGTGGAGGGCTACTGGTCCTTTGCTTGGCTGCTGATAGTCAATACTAATATGCTGGTGATGAAGATAAATGATATGCAGCTCCCCTTTACAGGATACATTTTTACAGTTTCAGGGAAAGGTGGTGACCCCATTCACAAATTCATCTGCATTTCCTGTGTCAGATGACCGAGCACATAGAATAGAATGGAATGGAATGGAATGGAAATGGAATGGGAATAGCAATGACAATAGCAATAGCAATAGCATTCTTTATTGGCCAAGCCACAAGCCAGCCTCCTGAGTTTGATAAACACAGTTGTGATATGATTTTGTCTGAGTTCGACACTTTGCTAAATAAAACTCAACAAATGGGGGGAAAAGAATAGAATAGAATAGAATAGAATAGAATAGAATAGAATAGAATAGAATAGAATAGAATAGAATAGAATAGCATTCTTTATTGGCCAAGTGTGATTGGACACACACTAAGTAAATAATTATATTATAATTATGAAGTCCCAAATCCTGCAGAGGCAAATAAAGTATACGGTGTACATTTATTTTATTACATACATGACAACAGAAAGCAGAAGGAAGAACTAGCAAATAAATTAGGTATGCAGGTGGTAGATAAAGTAAAATACCTAGGGATCTGGTTGACTGCTCGATTAAAAAAGATAACTATGATAAGTTAATAAGGCAAATAGTTAAAGATTTAGATAATTGGGTCAAATTGCAGTTATCGCTATTGGGATGTATTTCGATAGTAAAAATGAATATTTTGCCAAAATTGTTGTTCTTGTTTCAAACAGTGCCAGTCAAGTTGGAAAAGATTTTTTTTTGTAGAATTAAACAAATGTATATCTAAATTTATATGGCAGAGGAAAAAACCCAGAGTGAAATACAAATTATTACAGGATGCCAAGAAAAAAGGAGGATTTGGCCTTCCAGATTTTGAATTATATTATGATGCTGCTATAGTAAACTGGCTTAAGGATTGGGTTAAATTAGAAAATAGAAGGTTATTAGTATTAGAGGTTTTGATCTCCAACTTGGCTGGCACGCCTTCATGTGGGATGAAAAATCTAAACAACATTCATATTTCCAAAGGCACCATGTAAGAAATGTGTTGTTTAATATCTGGGGAAAGATTGAAAAAAACCACTACTACCCAAAGGTTCCATTGTGGCTATCTACACTATCTTACACATCCAAATATATTGGATTATGAAAATATTGTTAGGTATAAAGATTTATTATATGACACTGGAGAGCTTAAAAATAGGAACCAAATACAAATTCAAGGAAAGGAGATAGCATGGTGGCCCTTTGCACAAATACAAACCCATTATAAAAAAGATAGAGAACAATTTGGCTTTAATGTGACTCCACAAGAATTAGATAAAATATGGCTAGGAGAGGAAAAGAAAACAATTAGTAAAACATATAAATATCTTTTGGACTACAAATTAAAAGAAGAAACAGTTACAGAATCTATGATAATTTGGGCTAAAAACGAATTGAATTAGATAAGTGGGAACACATTTGGCAAACAAATTACAAATTAACCATGTCAGTCTCGTATAAAGAAAACTTATATAAAATGGTTCATCACTGGCACCTACCTCCTGCGAGACTGGCTAAGATGTTCCCCAACCTACCACCCAACTGTTAGAAATGTAACTATGCACAAGGAACATATTTTCACATGTGGTGGACTTGCCCATGTGCTCAGAAATTTTGGAGAAATATTAGAAATTGGATTTTAAATATAACAAAACAAAATTTAAAACTTGAACCTGAAACCTTTCTGCTAAGTATGATAGATTCAAACATGGAGAAAAAATATCAATATCTAATTTTGCACATCATAACTGCGACCAGAATAACCTATGCACAAAACTGGAAACTGTCTTCCATTTCTTCAGAGGATATGGTAATTAAAAAAAATACATGAATGCACTGAGATGGATAGCCTAACCAAATTGTTAAAAAATAAACAAGATAGTGACTATTATGAAATATGGAACATTTGGCATGAGTGGTTAAAGAAAAGGTAATATTTGATATTTGGATAAGTTATGGAAATGACAGAAGACGTGCATTTAATCACAAACTATATAGAGAAATTAAAACATTAAAAGAATGAAGGAGTTATGGTAACAGGGCAGATCACGTCAATGATAAAGATAAAGAAAAAAAAATTAACCATTGATCAATATATGCTGTAAAATCTACATACCGTATATACTCGAGTATAAGTCGACCCGAATATAAGCCGAGGCACCTAATTTTACACAAAAAAACTGGGAAAACTTATTGACTCGAGTATAAGCCAAGGGTGGGAAATGCAGCAGCTACTGGTAAATTTCAAAAATAAAAATAATTAATTTGGGAAACGATCTCACTATCATGAAAGGTTTAATTGATTCACTAACCCAAAAGAAGAAGATGATGATGACAGCGGGAGGCAGGAGTCACTCTCTTCCCCTCCCTCGGAGGCCCCCTGAGTCAGGAGTCACTACCGCCGGCGCGGCCCCAGTCCCGCCGCCTCGGGAAGGGAAAGGCAAAGCGCTTTTTGCCTTTCCCTTCCCGGCTGGGGCTGTTGGGAGTCGCTGCAGCCAGAGGCCGCGACTCCACACCATTTTTTTTTCAGAGGGGAATCTGACTCGAGTATAAGCCGAGGGGGATTTTTTCAGCACAAAAAATGGGCTGAAAAACTAGGCTTATACTCGAATATATACAGTACATACATACATACATGGTATTCAGCTTTATTCGGGTATTTTCCCACGTCATTGTAGTTGTGCTTTTAAAGTTGTAGCAACGTTTCGGCAGAATTTCATCTGCCATCATCAGGCTTCTGAATCAGAAGGAAAATACCCGAACAAAGCTGAATACCACACATGTAAGTACCCACGAAAACTTAAGAAAACATACATACATACATACATACATACATACATACATACATACATGTTGATTTGTCTGTTTTAAATGTATGTCAAATAAACGTTTTTTCTAGAATAAAATAAAATATTATAAAAAAAGAAAAAAAAGTATCACTGGAAGTATTTCTCCAGTGCCCCAATTACTTTAGGTGGACTATCCTTTTTATATGCCTCCAGATGACTGGAAAGCATTTGGTTGTAAATGATGTAGGACAACAAGTCACAAGTCATTATAAACCTCTGTTAAGGTTCTCAGCTAAGGTAACTAATCATATTTTAGGCTATTCCTCACAACCCAGTTAAAGTACTCTCATTCAGTTCTGAAGTTGACAGAAAACTAGACAAATAATATATTCATTGTTGCCATTATTACTATCTTATTTCTTTATCCTGTATTGTCAAATGATAGTACTAGTAATCCTTGACTTACAGTTGGGCCCAAAATTTCTTCTGCTAGGCAAGGCAATGTTAAGTGAGTTTTGCTCCATTTTACAACCTTCCTTGCCACTGTTGTTAAGTGAATCATTCAATTGTTAAGTTAGTAACATGGCTGCTAAATGAATCTGGCTTCCCCATTGACTTTGCTTGTCAGAACATCACAACAGGTGATCACATGATCCTAGACACTGCAACTTTCATAAATATATAAAAGTTGCCAAGTGTCTGAATTGTGGCCATGGGGACTCTGGCACAGTTGTAAGTGTGAAACCTGGCCATACGTTTTTTCAATGCTGTTGTAACTTCAAATGTTTGTGAAACAAATTGCTGTAAGTCAAGGACTGTGTATATCCTGTTTTCAGGTATACATGGTATATTAATCACAACTATTGGTTAACTTCCCGGCTCTGCTCTTCTCATTTCTTGATGTCACCAAATGACAGGAAACACCATTGTGATTGGTACGTGTGTTTTAGAGAACACTAAATCCATTCTTTCAAAACACACTCCCTTCCTTGATATGTGCCCAAACAATAGGGGTACACAGTTTTAAATTATTAAATTTATACTCCTAGTTGCATATAAGCGACTACAAACCAGATAATCTGCAGGTTTGCACAAAATTGTTGACCAATTTTGGAAAACGATTAGACAGTTCACAAGATAGAAAATTGGTCTATTCCATGTGGTATACTATAGCTGAACTGTTTAAACGGCCGTATTATTTTTCAGAATTTTCTTACTGCACATACAAAAGGCAAGACATTCTGGATTGGTCTAAGTGATATGCACTCTGAAAACGAGTTCATTTGGGTAGACAAAAGCACTCCATCATTTACGTAAGTCTCTGCTAAAATGTTTCCTTTTTTTCTCATTTGTTTATAAATACTAGGGAATTTCTATACCAGACTTTCAAACTATGCAATCAGACTGCCTCTGTCAACATACTTTTTAACTGATTGCAGGTAGTCCTCAGCTTACAACCACAATTGAAAAAAATTTGTTGTTAAGCGAGAAATTTGTTAAGTGAGTTTTGCCCCATTTTCTTGTCACATTTGTTAAGTGAATCACTGTAATTGTTAAATTCAGGGGTGGAATTCTACCGGTTCGACAGAGTTCTATAGAACCGGTTGTTATGATTCTGTGCAGCTCAGAGAGCCAGCAAATCATACCCCTGGCTGGCCCCACCCCTCTCCACCAGCCCCTCCCCTTCCCACCCAGTCATTGCTGACTGCGTTCTTCCCTGCTCAGCCACTCCTTAACATTTTTCATTGTTCTATATTTCCCCTCCCAATGTGCTGGGATCCCTCTCACTGTCTTACTGCTTTGCCCAGGAGGCTTCCCTGAGGCCCAGGAGGCAGAAAGAGGTGTAGAGGGGGTTTGCTGTGCTCACCCCCACTCCATTTTTTGCCTTCCTGGGCCCCAGGGAAACCTTCTGGGAGCAAAAACACCCCCAAGGAAGCTTCCCCGAGGCTCTGGAAGCCCAAAAATGGGGGGTATGCTGCAAAAGGAGGAGGAGGAGAAGGAGAAGGAGTAGTAGTAGTAGTACCGTGTTTCTCAGAAAATAAGTCCAGGCCTTATTTTCTTTTGACCTCCGAAAAAATGGCTAGGCAGTCTTTTCAGGGGTGAATTAATTTCTCCCCTCCCCGCGCACCCTCGCCTAGAGCACCCTGTGGGCAGCCATGCCTCGCAACCAGCCACTCCTAATGGCCGATCATGGCGGAGTGCAAAGGGCTCCCTACCCCCTCCAAGCGCCTTTGCTGCAGACCTGGATATGGTGCTGGTTGCAGGCCGGGTCAGCAGGTGGGTGGTGGCGGCATGGATGTCGGCCTCAGCAGGGCACTTTACATTATGAGACCTTCAGCGCCTGCCACCGCTGCTTCCTCCAATGCTGTTGCTTTCCCTTCTGCCCATGCTACTGCGCATTCCTCCACCAGCAGCATTTCAGCCGCTTCTCGGAAAGGGGAGCCACCTCTGTAGCTTCCACAGTTCCCGCCGGCGCTGGTGCTGTTGTTGGAGATGGCTCTAGCGAGAGAGGCGCCAGCGCCAGCAGGAACCATGGAAGCTACTCCCCTGCCCAAGAAGCAGCTGAAACGCTTCCACGGTTCCCGCTGTTGCTGCCCAGGTTGTTGGAGATGGCACTGGCAAGAGAGGCGCCAGCGCCGGCGGGAACCATGGAAGCTACAGAGGTGGCTACCTGCCCAAGAAGCAGCTGAAACGCTGCCTGTGGAGGAATGCGCAGCACTCCAAATGCAGCAGCAGCACGGGCAGAAGGGAAAGCAACAGCGGCAGAGCAAGCAGCAGTGGCAAGCGCCGAAGTTCTCATGATGTAAAGTGCCCTGCCAAGGCTGACATCCTCACCACTACTGCCCGCCCGCTGACCCAGCCTGCAACCAGCACCATACCCGAGTCTGCAGCAAAATCACTTGGCGGGGGTAGGGAGCCCTCTGCGCTCCGCCATTATCAGCCATTAGGAGCGGCTGGTGGCGAGGTGTGGCTGCCCACGGGGTGCTCCTAACAGCAAGTCCCCCCCCCATTTTTCTTGTTTTAAAATAGGCCTAAATTTGGGGGGTGGGGCTTAATTTCACCTTATGCCTAGAAAACATGCTGGGACTTCCTACGGGGGGGGGGGGGGGAATTGTTGGAGAAACATGGTAGTAGTAGTAGTCATGCCTACATAGCCACACCTACAGAACCAGTTGTTAAAAAAGTTGAATCCCACCCTGGTTAAATTAGTTAACAGAGTTGTTAAGAGAATCTAGTTTTCCCATTGACTTTGCTTGTCAGAAGGTCACAAAAGGGGACCACATGACTCCGGGACACTGCAACCATCATACATGTGAGTCAGTTAGCAAGCACTTGAATGTAAATCATGTAACCGTGAGGATGCTACAACAGTTGTGTGAAAAACGGTCATGTCACTTTTTTCAGTTACGTAACTTTGAACAGCCACTAAATGAATTGGGTGATTGTGCCTTTATGCAACTAGGGCCCTGTTTTGTGCTGGTTTCATTCATTGATAATGTGCTGGTCACACACACACGCGCATATATCTGTGTGTGTGTGTGGTCTACTGGGTCATCCACTATCATCAGATGGGCCATTTTCTGGCTCTTTCTTCTGCTGTTTCCATCCTGCTGCAAGTTTATTGGAGACCCGTATCTTACACTGATAGGTAAGAATTGCTGCATAGGCACTCATACAGAAAAAAAAAAAATCACTGTTCCGTGTAGAAGTGTGCCCGCATGGATATATTTCCCACTTCTGTGCTTTCCGAAGCATTTTCTTCCCACATATTGCTGCAATAATGGAGAATACAGGTAGCTCAGGTTGACTTATTGGATTCTTCATGCTTGTTCACCAATTTATCGGTGCTCGCTAATTAATTTTGCCATTTATATAATCCCTTGAATTTCTAACTGCAGCGCTTGGAATGTAGGAGAACCCAACAATAGTGGACATGGGCAAGACTGTGTAGTGATAAATTCTAATGGCCGATGGGAAGATCGTGAATGTGGAAGAAGTGTAGATGGCTGGATTTGTGAAAAGCCCTGGAAGTGCTAATTGTATCCAGTAAGAGGAAGACTCAACATTCAGCATTCGTAACCCATGTGTATTATTTTGAGCTTTCTTATTTTTATTGTCTTTTATTAGTTTTCTGTATTTTGCTTTACTGAAGACTATCAATATATGGTGCAGCATAACTATTTCGGTAAACAATTCTTTGAATAAACCGAGAGCTCAGCCTAGAACAAGAATGGGCAGGCTTTAGGTGTGCAGGAGCTATTGGGGTTCTTTTTACCAGAACAAGCTACAAAAATAGGAGTTCAGGACTACAGACAAAGAATTGAGGAACAAGTTGTGCTTCTGAACAGAGAACTAATGGATTGGCTGTCAGCAGCACAGTTGGAGCTTACACACAAATTATTTCACACATTGACGTTCCCCTCTTACAAGCACTGCTGATTTTAGCAACCTCACAGGGCAACAATTTTTATTAAATTATCATGAGTCACAAACTTCTACTAATTTGCTAGGTAAATTACTTGGAGATCAGCTAATATGCCCAATTTCTGCTCATCCTGTGTAGAAAACATAAAATCGAAGTTGTCTAGTTTAGTAAAGTTTAATCTTTGCTAGCCTAGGAAATTTTAGTTTTCTGTTCTATAGTTTTTCATTTTTCATTGAAGCACTCCTAAAAAGTATCTAAATAATCCCAGATTTTCCAAAATACAGTTTGAAGAATCTCTAGTATGGATTCCCCGGAGTTTCATAAACAAATGCAAAGGGATCTCTCTTGTGATAAAATATTTGTAAATCCTTCGATTAGAATAATGATTTTTCAGCTTAAGAATCCATAGTATTATTTGGCACACTTTCAAAACTCCCTTGAGATTTCAAATTAAAATAACAGATTTCCAAGTGTGTGATTTCAATAGACAGGTACCTAATTGCAATTGTTATCTGTCTTTGCTACTTTCAACAAATCTGGCAGCATCTTGGGAATCAATGTGTGTTACTTTAGGTTTTATGATAGAAGGAGCGTGATATAATTTCACTAAATTTAAAAAAATTAAAATAGGACAAAAGGTTTCATACATACAGAATTCCATCACCTTATAGAACAATATTACCTTCAAAACTGTAAAGCTAATGGACCCAGGTAAAGAAACTCCAGGTCCAGAAACATGAATCTATACATGACACATACATTTGTGATGGTAATCTATCTTCAAAATACAACTGTTACTTAGGAAATAGATGTAACAATGTGCAAAATCACAGGACTGACTGAGTTTAAGGTGAGCACTTGGTACAGAATAATTCATGACACTGAAAATATTTGAGAAGTAGAAGGCATCAGCACAGCAGTTATGGATTCAAATTGGTGCAGAACTTTTTTATCAATTGTATAATGTGCAAATCTATACAATAATAAAATTTAAGAAAAACAAAACACTGATTTGGGCTGTATTTTTGCATTCCCTATATCTCAATGTCAATTTGCTGTGAATTCTTCCCCTTGACCAGGTCCCTTTGGAGTACAGTGCATAATGTCCTAGATAGAAAACTCTCTTTTTAATGATGGTTGGGAATCCAGTAGCGTAGGTTCCTCAATGCAGAGGCTCTGGTGCAATTTTTTCCCCAACCACAGAAACTTCTTATTGAGATTTAATAGCTGACCAGCTGTTGTAAGGCTGATGCAATGAGGATGAATCAGCATGGTTATTGCAGCTTTAAGACTGAGGTTGGAACCATAGGGTTTTACCTCTTTAAGAAGCTGTATATATAAAGGCGGCCATGAGAAGGCGTATCTCTCTCTCCTTGTGTTCTGTCTCCATTTGTGAGTTTTCCATGCAGAGTAAAGAAGATTGATAGATTACTAGGTATTTGCCTACCATGTATATTTATGTATATAGCTGTCTTGTATATAAACCACTGTTAAAAGACAAAGCCTCTGTGTGCTGTGTTTTGCTCCTGGGTTGTCTCACAATAGTAGTCACGCTGCAAATACTCTGACATTCTTTATCTGTGGACTTCAATTCACAAAATTATTAGCAATTACTATGCTCTATCCTGACTGGAGAATCCCAGGAGTTAAAAGTCTATAGATCTGGAAGTTGTCAAGTTTGAGAAACACTCATCGAGCAGTTGTGTAAGTGGACATGAGGGAAGAATAGCTTGGTTGGATTAGTGAGCTGAGCAAACTGAAAGCTTTCACAACCATCTGGATGCCATTATGGTCCATTGTTACCATATCCTGTTTTAATATCCAGACCTTTTGTTAAAGACTTCATTGACAGATGTTTTTTTTAAATCTTGGAACTTCTTAAACATTAATGTTGTACTATTCCATTGAACTACAACTACAACTCTACAAAAGCTGTAATGGAGAAGAAAGGGGAAGCAGAAACTAGTGGTCTCAGTGGCATCCAGTTTCAACCCATTAGTACCAGTTGATCCAGATCAGAACAACTTTCATAGAAGAACTGAGATTTCTTGGGTACTTTCCCTTCGTTCTCGTGTCCTGAAGACAGTGCAGCTACAGATCGAGGCTGCTCCACATATTGATTCAGAATTTGAACTTCCATGGAGTAGAAATCTGATAGTAATTAATGGGAGGTACAAAGTATAGACGTTTTAAAATAGCCCTTGCTGCTGTGAAAGTTATTAAAAATTCTGGGATTAAATGAACTATTTAATTTAAGGGAGGGAGCATCTCCTTTAAGCTGAGTTAGATTTCACCTCTGCATTTTGCCCTCCAGAGCTGCTGCATCTGCAGTTCCTTTCATTTCAAATTTTCTGCAAGAGATGCAGATTGCTCAGTGCCTCACAAAGGAAGAGCAAAACCCGACAAAGGCAGGATACATACAATCTGCAGATGCATGCAGACAAGAAAATGTCAAAATTGCAGAAGAGGATTTGGTGTGCCTTTCAATGGAATTTTTTTCCCCTTCCCTTCACCCTCCAAAAAATTGGATTCAGTTGGTTCCCTCACCCAGTAATTCAGCAAATTAACCTGGAGGTCTTTTGTCTGCAATTACCTGCAACAGTGAAGATTCATTCTGCTTTCCATTGACTGCTACTTGTGCTGGAGCCCCTCTGCCTTCCCCCATTAGCATGTTATATTCTAATGGTGGGTAGAGAAGAAGCACCAGAACCTATTTCAGAGTCTAGGTACAAGGGGAAATAATTGGAATATCTGATTAATTGGAAAGACTATACAGAATCAGAAAAACTATGAAAAACTAGGTCCTTGTCACTCTCCAAAGTCTCTCTTATTTCTTCCTTAAACCTTGAAAGTGAAGCCGGATAGGGATATGATGGAACTGAGATTTTGTAAAATGCTTCTAGGTATAGTTGGAAATTTGGATAGATCTTGGAGGAAGGGTTTCCTTGAAAAAGAAATACATTCTTGGAAGAATTTCTCCCCAGATTACCTGTTAGAGTCTAATTTAATTAAATTACTAATATATTTCCATGCCAATGTTTAGAAATACAGATCTCTCTAAGACACAGATTGAACTTTCTTGGACAAGTGAAACACTTTCTACATAAATTCTCTTTTATACTTTTTCTAATCGTAGTCTACTTATATGCTTATTAAGTCATGTCTTATGTTTGATAGGTGATTATGGACAAATAATATAACATTGTCTTCTTTTCCAAGTTGTAAAATATTGTTCTGTCAATGGATTAATATTTATCAATGTATAAAATTCGTGAGTCAGATTGATTAAAACAAAGCCGGTTTATGCGACTTCTGAGACCTTATGAGACCTTTTCTCTTTCTCTTTCCCATTTCAACTTTTTGTCTATTTCCAGAAGTTTTCTCTCTAAGAAACACATAATTTATTAATAGTGTTGATAATTTCCACATTATAGTCTTTGCTAGCTGATTTCATTGACTACGCATAATTGAACACCCAGTAAAAATATATGTTATCTTCATCACTTTCTTCCTACAAAAGTCTTTTGCATTTTATTCAGTAGCTATATGTTGAATTGTTGTTTCTTGAAGATTATGTCCCCGCCCCACAAATCTTTCCAGTATGGTTGAGTCCTGGTACAACTGAATCACTCAGATATCAACACCAAATACAGTAGGAATAGCAAAACAGTAAATCATTCCACTTCTATTATACTTATATAACACATAAATAATTAGTTGAAAAGTTCTGTTTTTTTACTTCTGCAACTTCCCTCTTCACAATTCAGTACAGAAATAGATCACTAATCGTTTGAGGAACAAAGCTGTGGAGATACAGCATATGATAAGAGTAGAAAGTTAGCACTCCCCTCTCCTAGAAGAATGAAATATTCTAGGAAATATTAAAAAGGCAGAATATTTCCCCTAAAAGAGAAATAACAATCTTAAAGGGAACAGAAACAAAAGACTGCAGCTCTCTGCCCCAGCAGATATTTTGGTGCCAGCTTATCTACAAGACAAAAGACTGGGCCAATCTATCTACAAAACAAAAGGCCTCAGCTCCAGGATGATGGGATTATCCTTCAGGGCAAAGCCAGTAAAAGTCCCAGGACTCATTGTGTTATATATTTGCATACTTACCTATGATAGGTTGGTCCGTGGCGGCGGGAGATTTGAAGAGCCGTCATTGGCCACGAGCCGCGAGCAGCCGGCTATAAAAAAGGCTGCCGTGGTTTCTCCGCATGCGATTACTAGAAAGAAAATAAAAAGGGAAAAAGTCAACTGGGTCTCGAGTCTCTTTTCCCACAACGCAACACATTGTGTGTAATTTTAAAAATACCAAATAGCCTAGATTGCACACTGGCTAACTTCAATTTGGCCTCATAAAAGAAAGAGCTAGGGCAGGTTCAAGAAACAACCCTTGAAATGGTCAGCCTGTAGTTATTTAAAGGAAAACCATGGCTTTGAAGAATTTTGGGGGTTGTGCTTGCTTGAAACCTGACTGAAAGCCCACAGAAAGTGACATCAAACATCTGAAAAAAAGTTGGCATAGAAAATTGGATACTGTAAATTTCTTTCCAGAACTTTTGCCCTGGCTGCCAGACCTTCATGGTTGAAAATTCTCCTTTTGGGAGCCACTGAAGGATCTTTTTTTGCTGCCTCTATCAAAGCCTTTCCCTTTGCATCAGAAAAATTAAAAGCACCCATCAAGTCTCCCTGATCTGATCAATTTTTAATCTTTTGCCAATAACGTATGTCCCACCCAAATATTTTGGCAAAAAGGGGGGGATTGTAGAAAGTTAGCGTCTACCCCTTTCTTAGAAGAATGAATATTCTAGGAAATATTAAAAAGGCAGAATATTTCCCCTAAAAGAGAAATAACAATCTTAAAGGAAACAGAAACAAAAGACCCCAGCTCCCTGCCCCCAGCAGATATTTTGGTGTCACCTTATCTACAAAAGACTGGGCCAATGTATCTACAAAAAAAAAAAGACCTCAGCTCCAGGATTATGGGATTATCGTTCAGGGCAAAGCCATTTAGCCACAATAGGAAATTGCCCTTCATTGCATCACCCAGCAAGATTCAACCAAGCTTGGGACACAGACAACTTCAGCTATGACTGTATAACCCCATGGGAGTCTGACAACCAATAGGATGCATTTCTTGCAAGGCCCAAGAGAGGGTATAAATGTATCTCATTCTCTACTCCAGGGGTCCCCAACCACCGGGCCGTGGACCGGGACCGGTCCGTGGAACATTTCCTACCGGGCCGCTGGTTTGCTGGGCGCCGCCATCTTGTTTGACGAGAAAGTGCTTCCGGGTGAGTTTTTCCGGTTGGAAAGCGGCGTTTGGGTCCTGAAGGAATCCTTGCGCCCTAGTTTCATCGAAGGGGGGGGCTTCGAATGAAACTAAGGCGCGAGGATTCTTTCAGCACCCAAGGCAAGGCGAGCCGAGCGACCGTCCCGAAGCCGTCCCGAAGCGAAGCCCATCAACAAAGGTACAAAGGAGGAGTTGAAGGTGGCGGGGAGAAGCGGGGGATGGCTGGCTGGCCGGTCGCTCGGCTCGCCTTGCCTTGTCATGCGTGCTGATGCCGGTACGGGGCCGCGGATCATTTTGTGATGCCGGTACCGGGCCGCAGCACAAAAAAGGTTGGGGGCCACTGCTCTACTCCATGTGTTCAGCTGCACCAGGATCATGTGCTTAATGGTTCTGCTCTATTAAACCATCCTTCCAAGCAGTGTCCACATTTCCAGTGTCTTTTTCCCCATTTGGAATTGAACCCAGATGGACATTTCTTCCAACACAAGTCTCAAAGGAGCAGATGTACTGAAATCTTCTGAGATTAAATTGTCAAACTGAGACCAAGAGACGTTCATGTAACTCTGATATATTTTTAATGCAAATATAAGTAAATGCAACTTGAAAAAGATCCTGAGATATGGAAGCTTTTGGTCATTTGTTTGAGCCAGCTTTGTATGTGTGTATGTGTTCTACCTTCAATGAATGTACATTAGA